ATTAACGATTACTATATACCCTCCCACTTTTCAAGCGGGGGGTATAAAAACGATACTCGAAAATGTTGAAATTTATTTCACGCTCTATATTTGTTGCCTATTGTGCCATCTCGATAAACTTTTGAATGCACCAGTCTATATTTTAAGAGATGTTTATATACCACGATGAATTAACGAAAAAAAGGCCTATATTTCACCTGGTATCTTTCTTTTAAATAAAAATTGCTACATATAAACAAAAATGATTGTAATTAATTATCTGTCAGGGATCCCGAAACATCAAAAGACGACGGAGTTAGGAAGCGATGTAAGTTAACAAGAAAATTCAAACACACGTTTTTTTTTTTTTTTTTTTTTTTTGGGGGGGGGGGGGGCATTTTGGATCAGAGGGATTCATTGAAATTATTGTAAAAAAAATAGGGGGGTCATATTTATCGGTACCTTGCAAAACAAAAAATGGTTAGCGTGGCGGCCCTTATTGATTTATTGCCACTCCTGATCAGTCCCAATTTTCATCAATTTTTTTTGTGTCTGGGGAAAAGAGCTGTAACACATTTCCGACTCACTGCTCCCTTTGATTTCAAAAAGTAAACGTTTAATAAACTTAGTTATTATTAACCCGTATCCATTAAAAAAGTTTTCATCATCATCTTGTAAAGGTATATTTTCAAGTTTACATTCATTGAGATAAGTGCTGTGAAAAAAATGTTAGATTTAGATGCAGTGTTCGCAAAAAAACATTTATATTCATTAAATCCTGAGAATCCTTGTTTTAGAATCATAAATGGCGTGCAGACAAAATAAAATTAAAAAGACCTAAATCTATTTTTTTGAAGTTTTAAATAAAGATCTGAATTCCTGTAATTTACACAATAATATAAATCAATCAGGTTTCATAGATATTCGAGATTTAAAACAATAATACATGTATATATACACTCATTTCGGGATCGGATAAAAAATATCAGATGCAGTTTAACGTCAATTTAACCCACAGAAACTTGGGAATATTAAAGTTCAAATTCATGAAAAAATTAATTTAAACGTAGATAGCAAGTATCATCTTAATCTACACTTAATCGCGTATTTTTTATTTAGCTCAAGATATCCCTTATATTGCTTAAAAAATTAGTTTGAGTTTACATCCTCAATTAAATCAAATCAAAATGACAACTTGTTCGTGTGAAGTTGTTTCTAATCAGAATTATACAAAAAAAGATTTATTTACAAGTGTTATATAACTCGGAAGAATGTATATCCCGCATTTTAATAATAAAGCACTAATGATATATCGATGTTTAACTCTTGCGATTTTTTCACTCGTGCGAAGACGCCCTTATTTGCCATCAAGGGCAATCTGATTAAAATCAGATGTCATTTTCGTTCCGAATTTCAGAGCATAACAAAGATTTGAAATAAAAATTAAACGCAAGTCGTTAAAAATACCAAGATTAGATATATTTGCATTTTATAAACATGATGAAACATTAGTCTGCAATTAAAGAATGTGCATAACGTGTGATTCAATAATGCTGAAAATCCTATCATATAAAGGGTGGAATAATGATTTCACATAACTTGTCAGAGTTGTCAGAGGGGGAATTTACAATGCTAATTATTAAACAAAAAAGACTCTTTTGAATGTTTTGCATGCTTTTAAAGAGATCCATATAATAGGCGTCGGAACCGGGCGGGCCCCACATTTTTTTTCTATAGATAGACTTAGTATAGACATCGGACACTGCTGCGTAGGTTTAGCCCCCCCCCCTCCTCCCCACTTTCCACAGACATGTTGCAGTACAGGCTTCAATAATTGGGAAAGTGTTGGTGTTTGGAAAAAAATTTTGTGCTGGAGTTCGCATCTAACCCCCCCCCCCCCCCCCACACACACACACACACACACACACACACACTTCTCTCACAAACGAAATAAGATTTTCGTGTATGGCCAATGCACATTTCCTTTTTATTTTATTTATTAATTTTTTTTTATTTTTTTGCTTGTCAGGTTCTTTTGAATGTATAACATTTTTTTTTATGCCTACTCTCCCCCTCCCTACTTTCAATTTGCTCCCGACGCCAATGAGATTTGAATATCCTGATGTTCTTTTTTTTGTATAGTAAAAAAAAGATGTTCTTGTATGCATGTGTTTTCTCATAAAGAAAAAAGCCGAAACTGAAAATTGTCTTAGTTTTATTTATATACATGTTATCAACAAAAATTAAATTAAGATAGCCGTCTTCATATAGAACCATCATAATAATACACCAATAATGTCGTATGCAGTTAATTCGTATATCTGTGGTGTATGTTCCCGTGTTAATTTTCTATTTACAAATTTATACTGTACACACACACACCCTCCCTCACACACACAAAATCAAAGTGAATAAAAGAAAGATATATTGTTCTTAGGAACTTGAAGATTTCACCGTGAGCAAAAGATTGGAATAATAGACTAATTCAAGCTATAAATGTTCCATTGACTTTCTTGATAAATCGTTTTCTAGCAAAAAGTAGCAAAATCATGACCAACAATATTTCCAGTAAAGAAAATTAATTTTTATATTCAGCGAACTCGCTCCACATTTTAAGAATAGTCCACAAATGGAACAGAAGAGTAAGCTTTAACTTTTTTTCACTTCAAAATTATTTTTTTTTTTGGCGCTGTATCGGGATTAAAAGTTGAAACGTTAAAAAGTTGAAATTCGATAACGCCAAGTTGACGACGTCATAACATCATAGCGTTATTTTCTTACGAAAACAACCTATATTTGAAGAGGTCTCTTGGAGAAATGGTTTGAGATAATAACAAAAATTAAAATGACATAGGAAGAGGTCACTCTCGACTTGTTTCTAGTACAATTTAATAAGATTTTGGGACTGGGCGGATTTTTGTTCATACCGTACTTTCTTCTTTCATTAAAACTATATATAGGCCTATTTTAATTGAATAGGGAACACATGTGGAATGAACACAAAATGCCTTAATAGTTTCTAAACAGAACCCTCACAGAGCTTGTAAATTCTATTAAAAATTCAGTTTTCATGTTACAGCAATTACTGTGAATAGGATGTTCCTAGGACATGGAAGGATTTAATTACTGTAATCATTTTGCTTTGTATTCTTTTTAACGCAGCTCTTGGTTAAATGGACTGTGTCAGCTAAATAAGAAAGTCATAGTAACTAACTTTTTAGCTCACCTGAGATGAAGGCTCAAGTGAGCTTTTCTGATCAAAATTTGTCCGTTGTCTGTCGTCGTCGTTGTCGTCGTAAACTTTTCACATTTTCATCTTTTTCTCAAGAACCACTGGGCCGATTTCAAGGAAACTTTGCACAAAGTTTCCTAAGGTGAAGAGGATTCAAATTTGTTCAAATGAAGGGCCACGCCCTTTTCCAAGGGGAGATAATTATGAATTAAAGAAAAATTAATGGCATTTTTAAAAAATCTTCTTCTCAAGAACCACTGGGCCAAGAAAGATGAAACTCATGTGGAAGCATCCTCAGATAGTGTAGATTCAAATTTGTTCAAAGTATGACCCCCAGGAGTAGGGTGGGGCCACAATGGCTGATCAAAGTTTTAGATAGGAATATAAAGGAAAAATCTTTAAAAATCATCTTCTCAAGAACCACTGGGCCAGGAAAAATGAAACTCATGTGAAATCATCCACAGGTAGTGTAGATTCAAATTTGTTCAAATCATGACCCCCGGGGTTAGGATGGGGCCACAATGGCCGATCAAAGTTTTAGATCATGTAGATAGGAATATATAGGAAAAATCTTTAAAAATCTTCTTTTCAACAACCATTGGGCCAGGAAAGATGAAACTCATGTGGAAGCATCCTCAGGAAGTGTAGATTCAAATTTGTTCAAATCATGACCCCCGGGGTTAGGGTGGGGCCACAATGGCCAATATAAGTTTTAGATAGGAATATATAGGAAAAATCTTTAAAAATCTTCTTCTCAAGAACCACTGGGCCAGGAAAGATGAAACTCGTGAAATCATCTTCAGGTAGTGTAGATTGAAGTTTTTTTCAAATCATGACCCCCGGGGTTAGGGTGGGGCCAAAATGGCTGATCAAAGTTTTAATTAGGACTAGATAGGGAAATCTTTTAAAATTGTCTTCTCAAGTACTTCAAAGTCATGATCAGTGATATTTATGTGGAAACATCCTCAAATAGAGTAGATTCTAGTTTGTTCAAATTATAACCCCCAGGGAAGGGTGGGAGCACAATGGGGGATCCAAGTTTTACATTAAAATATATTTACAGAAATCTTCTCCTCAAGAATAGCAGTGCCATGATTAGTGATACAGGTATTTATATGCAAGCATTTTTGGGTAGTGTACATGGTGTAGAATTAAATTTGTTCAAATCATGACCCCCCAGGGTAGGATGGGGCCACAATGGTGGATCGAAGTTTTGCATAAAAAAGGGGGGAAAATCCCAAGAACAGAAAAGCTATGTTGAGTCATATTGACATGTAAGCATCCTCATGTATTGAAGATTTACATTTATTCAAATCATGGCCCTTTGGGGTAGGGAGGGAGACAATGGGGAATCAAATTCAAATTATTATGAAGTTATATATAGGAAGAAAATGTTTTAAAAAAAATCTTTGTATCAAGAACAGTAAAGTCATATGCTGTGTTAATAAGAAGGCATTCTCAAGTAGTATTAAAATTCAAGCCCCCCCCCTCCCCCTTTCAGTAAACATTTCAGTTCTAATCTGATTTGTGCTTTTTCCTAGCCGATTTGCTCAGGTAAGCGATGTGGCCCTTGGGCCTCTTGTTGAATTTCATAGTTGCATCCCAGTATTTAGGAAAACAAGAGATTGAATCATCATACTTTGTTAGTTGACTCAATTTGGTCCTTGAATTGTGTCAGTGAAAAAAAAGACATGATGACATCTGCTTATTGGAATTTTATGACATAATCTGAATATTTCAGATAATAAGTGGCTTAGAATCACAATCTTTTTCCAATTCTGTATTTCAGGTTCTAAGACGGTGTCTATTGGAAGATATCCAGTGTTGCTCAATTACCCCACCTCTGCTGATTTTTCCGTGAAATCCTGGCTTACGATTGGTTGAAGTCTGTCACGTGAAAGCGGTGGATTACTTATACATGGTCAGTTGTAAATCCATACCCTGTCAGTGAAATCTATACCCGGACGATGTATAACGTCACAAACACAAATGTGACGTCATAATAGGCACAGTATAAGCGCGATAAAGCATTCAGCAGAGAAAACCATTTATAAACTGCAGATAAAACGTGAATGTTTCATCGGTGGGGTAAATTCATTACATAGTCTTTTAGTGACAGGGTATGGGATGATACCTGGTTAGTAAATTTCATACCTGACTCGGCTCCGCCTCGCCAGGTATGAAATTTACTAACCAGGTATCATCCCATACCCTGTCACTAAAAGACTATGTAACTAATAATACATCATCGGATAATATGGATTTCAATTTTAACAAATAAACATCAGGTTTGTTTCCAAAGAAAGTAGTATAGACATTTTGAAAAAAAAGGATGCAGTTTTTGTTCACCTGAATCCCCTTGTCTGCCTCTCTGTCATTACAATCATGTCAAGCTATAATTTTGTAACGGACAATTATTGGAAGCTTGTACTTACAAGGACTGTTTGTAATCTAAGAGTGTGTAATGACCTTGACTAAATGACCAGCAAGTTTAAGGTCACTTGCAATTAAAGACGTACAACACACTGGGGGAGATAACTCTTGCGATTTCAATTGAACGTTTGACGTGACGTCAAATTTAACGTCAAAAATAAAGCGTCAAAATGACGAATAAAACGATCCCGATGTACAAATTGATCAATCATAAAAGAAAAGTGGGATATGGGGCTTGGCTGTGATTATGCGTACCATACTCAATAAGTATTTTTTTAATTAACCCGATTAAACTCCATAAAAAACAAGACATGAAATACCATCCCTTAATGTTTATTTCATTTTATTTCATAGATACAATAAATTGTACTCTTGATCAAAGCGCAGCATTTTTTTTATTCTGAAAAAATAAAGCGTCAAAATGACGAATAAAACGATCCCGATGTACAAATTGATCAATCATAAAAGAAAAGTGGGATATGGGGCTTGGCTGTGATTATGCGTACCATACTCAATAAGTATTTTTTTAATTAACCCGATTAAACTCCATAAAAAACAAGACATGAAATACCATCCCTTAATGTTTATTTCATTTTATTTCATAGATACAATAAATTGTATTCTTGATCAAAGCGCAGCATTTTTTTTATTCTGAAAATTTTATTTTACATTGCCGAAATTCTCATTATGTACAATTGGCTGCATAGCATTCCGATTAACGGTCTTTATTACAATTTGTGCATTTACGATATAAATATTGTTTTTCTTCTTTAATTAGATAAAACAACAATAAACAAACAAAAAACTTTTTACAATGTAAAATCGATGTTGTTCTCAGACCCTTACTGATCAAAGAGGAACAACTCTGAAAATGTAGGAGATGTTTATTTCCTCCCTTTATTCACGGTTTTCCACAGAATCAGATACATTTACAGCAAGACCTGATAAATCCGAGATAATATTATAGACCTCATATACACAATGTAAGTATAGAATTGAAAAGAATTGTTCACTAGTACTGAAATGATCTGAAGTTATGAATATCCTATTGCAGCAAATCGTTTGACTTTCTGTCACTGTCAATGTCGGTTCGCATTTCCTCAATCAAAACAAAGCGTAGCCTATAAGATTTTTAAAAATATCAATGTGTGATTTGATATAAATTAAAATAGATGAAGAGTTTAATGTTTGATATTTTGAAGTTAATGTGGACGAATACGGAATTTTCATTTTTACTGTAGAGGCAACGACATTGAAAGAATGCGTACAATATCATGAGGGGTGTACATCTATGCATCTAAGCCCCACATGCACATACTGTCTCGTTTGAAATAATGACGTGAAAGAAACTACAATTATTCCATTTATAGCACAGGAGAGTTGAACATACGCCATATTTTATAAATGAAATTAAAGAAACTGAAATAAAATTAAAAATCGACATATTCAAGTTCAACATAACTTGAATTCGTATCCAGGTTTCATGTGATATGGAATGCATAACGCATACATACATGTACATGTATATGGACTAAACACTAAAATCCTTCAGTAATTTTTTCCTTATGCATATATAAAAACAATAGTCAATATTTATTCTGCATTCATGAATTTAAAAACAAATGAATACCTCCGGGATTCAAATGACGATATACTAGTATATTTGCACTGTAAACAACGTTTCGTCAAACGCTAATAGTCTGCGACGCAAAAAAGGAAGGGGTGGGGGTGTTAGGGTTATTCAAAATTTGCCTAAAAATATACATTTAAATACGCTTTACATATGAAAACTTTTAAATTCATAAGTTAAGATATTTTTTAAGCAAAAGCAATATTCTAATTTGATCTCTTTAAAATGTGTATTTGTAGATTCATAGCAAAGTGATCGACCCCCGTCTGAAAGACGCGCGGGAACGTGATTTATTGAGAAAGGCGGAGGGGGTAATTTTCCGCTATTAAACCAAAACTGGTCGTACAAAAATTATACAAAAAATTATAAAGATTATTTTTACTACCAGCTACCTAAAGAAAGTTTTTTACCAAAATTAAACTACAGGTTTTTTCACAAAAAAGTTTTGAATTTGAAAAATACACAATTTCAAAGGCTTAGATAATTCATAGTTTTTCAGTTTAAGGTCTTAAAAAATTATTTTGATGATAAGTGTATCAAAAAGATGACTATGTTTTTGTTTTAAATGGTTAAAGGAATAAGTCAATGAAATTTGACATTTATATCTTACCTGGCTTTTTTGAAAATCAAGGTTTAAGTAGTTCATTGATTAAAAATTTTCTCTCCTTGTAAACAACTAAAGGGGGGTAACTTTTGGAAGTTCCTGTCCAAAAACTACTCGAACGATTTTGTCCAAAATGTGCATACATGCAGTAGATATAGTCATGTACTAAATATATACAAAAATAACGAAAATTAAACGACAGGAATTTTTGGGGGTAGGTGTGTTGTACATCCTTAAGTGTCAATTTCAAGTATGGTATACAATAATTTTCATGTGATTGATTGATTGATGCTGTTTTATGTCCCATTCGACAATTTTTCACTCATATAGAGATGTCACTATATACCGTTGAAGGGCTTCAAATTTTGACCTTTAATAGGTATTACTAGGTATTACTAAGTATTACTATGTATTCAGGGCCATAGATCAGTGAGGGGTCCTTTTCTTACAAACGCCTGCTGTGACCCGTGGCCTTGGTTTCTAAGGTCTCATCCAAAGGAACCGCAATTTTTACTTCAAAGTGACAAGCCCATGGAGAAGGAACATTTGTTTCCTATTTTTTATCAACTTAGATTAGTCATGACTGAGATTTGAACTCATGACTTTCCTATGACAGAGCGAGCGCTCTACCAACTGAAACTTTCATATGAAAAAGATGGAAAGTTCATATCTTATACAAAGATTGTTTAAGGCCTGAAGTTTTGTTATGACCTTTACCCAAGGTCATTTTATGAAAGGCACCTCTCAAAAATGTATAATTTCTTTCCCTACCCTAGTTTGTAACGTATAATGGAGTACATTTAGAGGTTCATCACAAATAAGACATATGACCTAAAGTTTGTGTTGAACTTGATCCAAGATTTTTCAAGAAATATTCAAGGTTATATTTACTCTCAGTAAAACTGAATTATTTGGGTCACTTTATAACTTTAGTCAAATTGAAAGATGAATCATGATATCTGACACAAAGAAAAATAATTCATAAAGTTCATCGTTACTTGCAGGGAATAGACAAATTTCTATTCATTCATATGTTCATTGTACAGTATTCTAAAAAAAATAATAAAAGTTTCTACTTGATAAATATATTTCTAGAAAGTGTGTCATGACCTAAACTAAAGGTCATTCCATCAAGTTTAAGCTCAACAGGTAGAAAAAGTATAAAATTTGTAACCATTTTATGACTTTCTAAAGGATATGCATGATATAGGTATTGAAAGTCAAAAACTAAAGCAATAATTATTTGTGATCTTCAACTTGAACTTGAGGCCAATGTACGTACATGTAGTAAACTCAAGGCTATTACCAAAAAAACTGTGAAATTCATCCTAGGGCCAAAATATTTTTTAAAAAGGAAAAACATTGGATGACAATATAGTACCCGGTATTTATTTCTCAGACAATATTGTGGTTTATTATTTTTCTTTATTGTTCCAACTATCTCATTGGCTCAAACTGGATCACATGATCAAGTATAAAAAATGTTACAGACTGGATGTTTCTATTTTAAAAATTTATAAACCTGCTGTTTCTAAATTTGGAAACATTCTTCTGTAAAGCAACAGTAGTGCTGACGTCACAATAGTCTTTACAGACTGGATGTTTCTAAAAACAGATACTGCAGCTGCTTTTCATTACTGTGACGTCATAATGCAATGACATAACAATGTCTTGTATGAGAAGGTACCGAGTATTATAAAGAAGGGTTTTAAGACATTCTTATAAACTGATAAAAAAAAATAATAAAACAATTGTAGCCTTTAAATTCGGTACAATCCCTCGATATATAGACCTTAGAGAACGTATATCGACCTCGCACTTCGTTCTCGGTCGTGTGCTTTCTCTAAGGTCTTATATATCAAGGGATTGACCTCATCAAAAGGCTATAATTGTATAGTAATTTTGTGAACTCTCTCACAGTTCTATTAGCTTATTAGGGCTGGGCATTGGCCCAAAATTTCGTATTGCGATATATTGCGATATTTTTAACTGTATTGCGATATGTATTGCAATATTTTCAATGTAGTTAAAATGGCATTTTTTATTATATTTACTTTAACTTACGTGCAGAATGTACAAAACTATGATAAGTAACCAACACGAAAATTTTTTTTTGTTGATTTCATTTAAGGTCAAGATCTAGCAAATAACTTGAGACTAGTTTTTTGGTGGTAGATCCATCATGACGTCATAATCAATTTCAACTTTCTTTCTCCCATACTTTTACGGCTTTAGCAGAATTATGTAGAAAATAGGGTATTTACATGTCATTCAATTTAATATCATATGAAAAGTAAACCGGATACCTGTATTAAATTTGATATTGATTTAAAGAAGAGGCCATGAACATACTAAATACCGTTTCCTGAGAGACTGTAGGCAATCTGGATACATTTCCTTTGCCGAATACGAAAAAAACTCCCATATTCATGACTGGTTTTCTTAATTTTTCATTGAAAATGACAGTTTAAAATACAGTTTTTCATCTTGTTTACCTACAAATTATGCCCCGAAACACCTTTTTTGACCAAGCTAAAGTTGTAAAGCATCAATAAAGGAATTTATTTCTCAAGTTTGATAAATCTGTAGGCACCTTTCATTTACTAGATCTTGACCTTAAGTTATCCTCTGAAATGTTCCCACAAAACAATTTCTGACTTACTGTTTGGCTTAATAACAAACTTTTATAAGTCCATTTTTATATTTAATGACAAAATTCCTTAATCTAAAAATATTGCCAATATATCGATATTACAAAATCGTATGTGATACGATATTTTTTGTCATTGTATTGCAATATATTGAAATATCGATATTATTGCCCAGCCCTATAGCTTACTGTATAAACGACATGTAACGCTTTTGTATTTCATAAGGGTTAATGCTCTGACTTTGTTTTGACAGATATCTAGGGGCGTGCTGTGCAGCTGTTACGAGGATAAAGAAATTGATGCTTCACAGGTTTTGATGTTTCCTCAATATACAAATCTTTTTTACCATTCATGCCCAGTGTAAATGTAAATACATGTACCGGATAGTATATTTGACTGTTAAATGTAGATATTTTGTTTAGAATGGCTAAAAACAAAGTAAAAACAATCATTTGAATAAAGTTATTTTATAAAAAAAAATAAAATGTTATTGTTGATAAAACATAATTTTTTACTCTTGAATGATAAATTATATTTCCTTCATTTAATTTTCTAAGCCAAGAAAAGGATGAAAAGAAACCATGCAGTTGTTTGCTGTTTTGCAGGATAAAGAAATCAGTGTGGTATGTACATTTCTCTGATACTTCATATTTGTACAGAGACCAGAAAAACTAATGTGATAGTAAGGTGTCCTCTAGCTGTCTGTCCATCAACTCTAAATTAAAGTTTTTGTCTGATTTCAATATACATGTAACCAGGCACACATATTAAGATACATAATTCTAGCTATCATTTTCTGATTTTGATGAATAGTGTTGCCATGGTTACAGAAATCTGTTTGAAATAATTTGAAATTGCTGCTCCTCCTACACTTTTGATCTGATTTCACTTTGATAAGTACATAGGTATAAGGCTACATTGATATGGCTACATTAAGATGCCAATCAAATATGGTAATTTTTCTAAAATTCTTACAAACCTTACTACTACATGTACTTTAGTTTTAGTCTGCAATATTTCCATGAAAAGAGACTAAATCAAGATCATTGTTCTGTTTATTGCTGTTGTAGAGTTTTAAGTCCAACTGTTTCTATTCTCTTCCTTTGCTATAGATGCAAACTAGTAGAGCTACAGTCTCAACAGAGACGTCTAGTTATATATAAACTGCTACATATCTCTTCCTCTGTTACAAACCAGTAGAGCTACAGTCTTGACAGAGACATCTGGTTAAATATACCATTTCATGACAAGCAGTAGAACTATGACTTTATACATGTAAGAAAGCTAGATTTATTCTCATGATAATTATTTGTACATTATCAAGTTGAAAAACTGGACAATAAGTTCAATTTAATAGAAATGCAATATTGAACAAATAAATATTTATTTTTAGTGATCTATTTAAATATATAATTATAATAAAAAAAATTTCTTCCAGTTACAATTTGTAATATAGTTTTACTTTACTGAGTGATTTGTAAATATTGATTTGTTGGACAGGTAATATAGTGAACACTTGGAGGCTGCTATCTATTGAGACATCAAAAGGACTCAGTTCCTAATGTAAAGGTATTTATAAAAAAAATTATATATACAGCAAAACTTGTTTAGTACACTCTGTACAAACACGGGGTTATAGTGAATTCACAGATATAGTAAAGTAATTTTATTGTGAGTTTGTTATATAACCGAGTTTTACTGTAATATTATATCATATTTTTATTATATGTGTTTGAATTCTATTTAATGTTCAAGTTTTTTTAAGCCAGAACATTGAATCTGACAATGATACAAGATTCAAGTATAAAAAGAGGCTTGTTATTGATGTAGAAAATTCTAGAACAGTGTTGTAATTTACAGAGAGATCTCCCTGACTGAAATCCACACAGGATTATAAAGTCACAGGAAACAGAAATACAAGTCTGGTGTCAGTTATGTATACAGCAGTATTACACAAATCTGTCACAGTGTCTGGTGTATATCAGTGTCTTCACATATCCCGTGTGTCAACAGACCGGGTCTGGATCTGTGATAGTAAAGGCAATCTCATTTTAACTAACACGACAGGAGACACACTAGATAAAGTGACAGATTTATTTCAATTTGGTGCTGGAATACATACTGTGTCTAGTGCTAGTGCTGTGATTTATATAGACAGTGACCATAACATCATAAAACTATCTGAAGATAAAGTAAAGACCATAGTGATACCATACACATCACCATGGTTACCAGTGAGTGTCTACAGCTCCCCCTCCACTGGAGACCTGCTGGTCGGGATGTATGATACTGGTGCAGTGACAGGCCAGGTACACCGTTACACTGACACAGGAAGACACATACAGACCACACAGCACGACAACACAGGTCAGGGACTGTATATAGAACCTTTCTACATCACAGAGAACCGCAATGGAGATGTTATTGTGTCTGACGGGCTCCGTCATGCTGTAGTGGTGACAGATCGTGACGGTAAATACCGGTTCTCCTACACACGTACTCCATCAGGATCAGGACTATGGCCACGTGGAATCTGTACTGACGCGCTGTCACACATCCTGGTATGTGATTATTACACCAGCACAGTACAAATCACTGACCAGGACGGTCTCTATCTGACACAGTTAGGGAGAGAACAACACGGGATATACAGACCATGCGGCCTGAGTTATGATTGTGATACACAGCTTCTCTGGGTTGGATCACGGTACAACACAGTAAACATTTACAGACTTATCAATGAAGGGGATGATCTGACTGGTAAGTTACATTATTGTATGATCGTGTATTTTATCTAATGATATTCTGTATATACAATAAAATAATTCAATTTTAAATCTTTATATACTATTAAATACTTTTTTGTGTAAATACCAACCATTTGAAATGATATTAAATGTATTAACATAACACATGTTACATGTTTATTTAATTATAATTTGTAACACAAAGTAACAAGAAATATTTCTAAGATAAACATGATAAAGAAAAATTATCTTATTATTATTTTAAGTATAAATTGTAGTTTAACTGATACAGTTTTTGATCAGAATACTTTTAAACTCATTTGCAAGGCAGGGTTTTCCAGCATGTCCAGAGAAAAAAACAATGGAATCATGTTATTAATAAACGTAAAGTTTTTGGAAACTTTTAAAACATTATCTGGAATTAAATAATCGCCCATTTAGAACTTAATCAGGTTTATATTACTGAGGCATATAAACAATTTTTTCTGTAGATAGAAAGGGTTTGTTGATCAGGTTTATATTACTGAGGCATATAAACAATTTTTTCTGTAGATAGAAAGGGTTTGTTGATCGAATGCAGATCACTCCCAACTATAGATACAGTGGGCTGGGCAAAGAGAGACAACTCCAAAATAAAGAACTGTGTACATAGTGTAGGAATGTCTGTTTCTTCTATTTGACAATGTATATATATGTCACTTAAAAATTAAAATCCTGCTGGAAATAAAGAACCTATATTTCTTATCTATTTAAGAATGTAAATCACTTGAAAATTAAAATGCCATTGGAATTTAGAAAAGAATAACATACAAATAATACATATATACAAATACTTTTAAAATATACATTGTATATAAAATATAAAGGTCAGGCCTTATGAAAAAAATAATATGGTTATTGGTGAAGAATTAAAAGTTTTGGGCTGGAATCTACTAAAAGCGTAGGAATCTTTAAATCTTATGAGGTATTCCACTGACCTTTTGGTATTTGTTATATGAATTTTGTCCAGCGTCATTTGTTGTCTATTAAAATTTATAAATGTTAACAGCTTCTTTCTCATAAACTGCTGAACAAATTTCAACCAATTTTGACATAGATCCTCTAGTAGAAGTTATCAAGAAATTGTGAATTCCATGGATCCCCCCCCCCCCCCCCCCGAGTCTAAAGATGGGGTTCTAATTATCATAGTGTATCATTGTATAATTTATTTAAAAGTCTTCTCTCTCTCCTGTAGATAAATCAGATTAGTTACATGTACATGATGTAGGTGAAAAATTGAGAAATTTTGTTGCAAAAGGGTTGGAGGGGGGGGGGGTTCTATTGATTAAAGGGAGAAGATGTTTATTTATTTGAAAATTTTCTTCTCAAAACCTGTATAGTAAGGAAACAAACTACAACAAACTAGGTGTATAGTAATGATGAGCGATCTCTAGTACTTCTTCTAAAATTGTCAATTGTAAGTTCCAAATTGGCCCAATTGGGTCAGGGATTCTAGTGTTAAAGTGAGGCTATGTTGACTTTATAGGGAAAATCACTGTATTATTAACTTGAAATGCAATGCTCATTGGCCATTATAGAGTATAAATTTGCAATTAGCAAAGATTTTTTTTTACAAGATTTGAGAAATTTTAGATTACATCATGTCCATGATCAAATGTTCTTGATCTAGGGCTGTATTACCGTAAAATCCTGTGTATAGAGCACAATGTTGTAAAAGACGCACCCCCAACTTTGGGGGTAAAAATCCTTAAAAACGCTGTTCCTATGTAAAAAGCGCATCCCAAAAAAACATCTTCCAATTTTCAAAAATGTAATATCACTTTAAGAATTTAAAGCACGAACTGTATAGAGTACATTTTTATGTGATAAGTGAGATTCAATGTTCTAAAAAAAAAAAGGAACCTCTCCCTTTTTCGATAGCAAATGATAAGCAACTTTATATATTAAATATTAAAAACATATATTTTTACAGATTCACTTTATGGAAGTTAATATATTGTGTATCTCGTTATTTATAAAGGGAAAGAACATTATGATTAACAATCTTTTTATAATTTAGAAAACCATTAAGTCTGAATAACTTATCCCAACTCAATCTCCATACACAAACACTTAAACTTATATGCATAGAGCAGCCCGGTCTTCCAGGCTGCAATAAAAAGAAAAAAATATTTTTATAAACTTTCTTTTTAGGAATGACAGCTAGAACCATGATTGGTCATATATTTGTATGTTAACATCCTCAGATAGTATGGATTCAAATTTTTTGAAATGATAACCTCTAAGGGTAGGGTCACAAAGGAAGATCAAAGTTTTACATGTACATTGGAATATAAAAGATCAAATCTTCTGCCCAGGAACAGCACATACATGTTGGTAAATTTTTATATGAAAGCATCCCCATGAAGTGTACAGTGGAGTCTCATTTATCTGGACGGTTTGGTTCCTAGTCAATTTTTCCGGATATGTGAACCATCCTGATATCTGAATCACCAGTTAAACAAGACAAAATAACACAATTAAAAATTTCGTTCTGGTGAAAAATTGTCTGGATACTGAAGGCAAGCATCGGGATATCTGAACGTCCACTGTAGATTCAAGCTTGTTCAAATTTATTAGGTAAAAATCTTCAAAACTTTTGCTCAAGATCAATCAACTAAAGCTATTTGTAATATTGATACCATTAAGGAAGGAGCATCAGCTAGTTTAAGGACCCTCTCTACACAAGTGCAAATTTTTTTTTAGACATTGAGAAAAAATTATTTTATAAAGGAGTTAATATTGAGCTTATTTATTTGATTTTTACTTTATGATGCGTTGCATTTACCCCCGGAAAAAATGTTCAAAGACATCACAGTATAAGTGAATAGAAATCACTTTAATTACTTCAATGGAGAAAATACATGTAAACAACACGTTCAGTTACTTTATCTTGGCCTTTTAAAATATTAGAATACTTAAATTCATTACATATTGAGTAATATATTGTAAATTTTTATGTTTTAGAATTTATATCTAAGGGCAGATCACTCAAACTGCAGAAAATACCTTAGAATCAGAACTCTTTAGCGTGCAGTGTAGAGAGGGTTCTTAAAATTCAAGTTTGGCACCCACACCTCTTTATGTAAACATTTCAATGATAAAGTGATTTGTGCCTTTTCTTAACCAATGTGGTCAGATGAGGTACAGCGCTATGACAAAAGTATTCGCGATTTTTCAAAATGGCGGACGTAAACACGATGCGCTTCGTAAAAATAAACAATAAATTGTGAAACAAATAACAGACTTACCTTTATTAATACTTGGTGAGGTGGCCCTTAGACTTGATTACTGCTAATAGTCGACGGGGAATAGATTCATACAAGGATTTGATATAGTTTTCGTCGAAGGAAGTCCAGATGTGTAAAATAGCATCGAACAATTCTTCCGGAGTCTTTATATTTGGAGCTCGATTTTGCAGAGTTCTCTTGATTTTTAGCCATAAATTCTCTATGATATTAATGTCCGGTGATTGAGCTGGCCATACAATTGTAGGAATATTATTTTGTTGTTTGTAATCTACAGTAATACGAGCTCTATGGACGGGGGCGTTGTCGTCTTGAAAACGATAGGTTTTGTTGAGGAAATGTCGGGCAATGACGGGCCAAAGTTGATCTTCTAAAATGGATATGTATTTTACTGCATTAATATTTCCATTGACCATGCAAAGTGTACCAACCCCGTGGTAAGTGATGCATCCCCACACCATTACCGAAATCCTTCTCTGCCGAGGGGGGCACATGCACTGCGGCAAGTACGATTCTTTAGATGTTCTCCACACATACATTCTATGATTCTCTCCTAAAACTATCTGACTTTCATCAGAAAATATAATTGTGTTCCAATAATTATTCACTGTGAGTTTTCTTTTCTCTAAACACCATGCAACACGCCTTTTTCTGTTGATCTCGGAAACGACCATTTTTTTTCTAACAACTCTTCGCTTATAATCATGATCACGTAAAAATCTTTGGACTGTCCGTGGATTAACAAAGTCATTAGCATCCCTGCTTTCATTAAATTCATTAGTAATATCCTTTAAAACCCGTCCTCTGTTAGTTTTAGTATGTCTAATAATCCAGTTCCGATCTCGTTTTGACAGCTTCCGGGGACGTCCTTTTCTTTTCAAAGTTTTGACTTCACCAGTTGACAAATATTTTTTCCAAATAGATCTGATGGTTGACTCAGGTATTTGTAATAAATTCACAATTACTGATGTTTTTTGCCCCTCCTTTTTCATTTCCACAATTAATTTTTTGACATCATTAGATATTTCTGTAGATTTCCTACCCATCGTAATATCTGTGTGTTTACATAAAATCCAAAACAGCAGACGATAAAAATACTTACATATAACGTCACTTCCGATGTGAAGACAACTCTGTAAAAATTTCGTATGTCAACACGGCATCTAATTAGAGTTATTGCCCATTCCCCGAGCGAGGCGCAGCGCAAGAAAGACGCCATTGCGTAAAAATCGCGAATACTTTTGTCATAGCGCTGTATGTGGCTGATGGGCTTTTTATGTCTATGTATCTTTACAGTATTGTATTATACTCAGGTGACTATTATGGCCCATGGGCCTCTGAATTTTATTCTTTGTTTAATGGAAAAAATTTCTATTGTGTTCTGAGAACTCTTCTTAAATAGAACATGATTGTGACTTTTTTATCCAACCTTTGATGTTTTAGATAAAGTTGATGAGTTAAAGACGTTCTTGAGAAAGGAGAAGACAACTGTTACCCATGCCAGAGGAATACTTGTTGGATGTGCTGAGGCTGGAAAAACAACGCTACTGAAGCGATTAAGAGGGCAAAGTCAAAATATCGGTGAAGTTACAGAGTCCACCAGGGGATTGGAAGTCCATCAACATCTTTTCATTGTTAAAGATGGAATTTTAGAAGGTAACTGATACACTTACACGGGATATATAGACATTTTTTGCTCTTTTACAGATTTTACATTTTAAAGCCAAAGACCTAAAGACCTTCACTAATACCATTTTACCATATTTACTGTGGCTCTGTTTCCTGCGTAAAAGTAAAAATTGAAGCCCTTCACTGATAAATGGCAGTGTCTCTTTTTCAGAGAAAAATAACTGAAAATTTTTGATAAAATGAGACGTCAAACCACACACAATCAAGAATTTATTTATTTTCTCTTTCTTAGAAAGCAATTGTTGGATTTCAAGACTTTCGAGCTGAACTTACATTAACAAACTTTAACTTTCACCTTTTTGAGGGTTGGGGTGATAAAGCCTTTTATTACTAGTATATACCCTAAAGTTCCTTGTTTTTGTAACTGTTAATTTTACAGAGTTTTATCCAATATTCCAAATCACCACGCAGGGGTAATAAGGAAACATACAAAATATTCTACCTTGACTAAATTAGTGCTACATTATTACGTCATAGTAGGCGAGGTGACGTCAATTTCATAAAACAAGTTTTCGTAATATTGGTATATACATATGTAATTCAAGGACTCGATTGCACGGCGTCACGTGATCACGTCATATGGTGAGTAAAAAAAGAATGTTTGCTGTAACTATTACCGGAATAAGGAGCGTCGTATGTTTGCGCTTGACAAAAGTTTTTTTTTCTAAAGTAGAGAGAGTATAAGATATTAAAGATTGTGACGATGCACTGAAAGTGTTGGTGAGCGTTGATCATATTTTTTATCAACGTGCATGTTTTACGATTTGACACGTCTATCTATCGTTTTTCGTTGAACATTGAAATTTATTTCATTAAAAATAAATTTGATTTATAACTTGAGGTTTATATCTTCATTTTGAAATTAGAATTTTATTTAAAATTGTTGTTTATCATAGGATCTACATCTATTTGTAAATAATTTCCAATAAGAGATTCAGACGGCGTGATTTACTAGATACATGTATAAATATTGATGAAGGAAGGCGATTTTGATAAATGTATTACGGCGATGACCACTTAGGGCTAGAAGAGATATCTTTTAAAAAAAAAAATATCACAGAGGATTTTGTTTTCTCCTATTAGATCTTTAGCATTTTCAGCAGTAAACATCGACCGCGTAAACATTCAATCATCGTCGCACATATATTGTAAACGATTGTTGTAAAATGTTTTATGCGTCGTATTGAAACACAACACACTTCTGAAAGAATATCAGGGAAGATAAATGAACATAAATAAATAAAAGAAACATGTGAACTCATCATGCTTATGGGAATACATTTGAAAACTGTTTGTTTTTTAATCACATGAACATTAACATAGATGTTTCACTCCAGCATTTATCATAAAGCGACGGAAAGTGATTTCAATCAATGATTATTTTATAATCAAAACAGTAGATCTATAGTTTTGACGTCAATTCTATCATTATGACGTCACAATGGAGATAGCGCTCATCAATGTACAGGAAATGAAGTGTACTTACTTGAAAAGAATCGGAAGCAAAACTACTTGTAAATGACTAAATGTGAATATTTAGAATAATCAGAATTACTATAATTTGGCCAGTAAGATTATTAATGATGAATACATTTATATAAAAAAAAACATATAAATAATGCAGTTGTAAACACGTTTTAGAAAATAACCTCTATTCATTCAATCTGTTTAAATGTCTGACACCCCCCCACCCCCCACCCCCCCGATTCCAGGTCACTGAGAAGAAACTTCGCTGAGTGTTCCAAGCGAGGAATAAAGCCTTTGAGGACTGTGCACTGGTTTATAATATATCATTTATATATATTGATTATAGTAACAAAATGAATGTTTTGGAGATAAAAAATTGAGTTTGAAAAAAAAAAGTTATTTTCGTGACCACTGTCGGTAATAAGTAAATAATTGTGCTTCACATGTAAAATGAGCATCAGCTGCCAGATTTTCAGAGAAAAAGTATTTATTTATCTATACATATGGCCTTTATTGTCTTTAAACAGATTATGCATATTTAGGGTCCAACAACAAACCATCATATGAAAATCTGTGAAATCTTTTAATATTCTAGGAGGGGGGGGGGGCTGAAATGCATGTACCTTCAAAATTAATCTGATTACACCACTTCGTATTTTAACCATAAGTCACTTATAATGACTAGTACAGCATATATTAGTTTTGGGAAAATTCATTGGGTAATTTTTAGCTCACTTCGACGAAGTCGAGATGAGCTTATGCTATACCCCCGGCGTCGGCGTCGGCGTTAGCAGGTTAAAGTTTTAGGAGCAAGTCCATTCCCAAGTAACTATTACCCCTATCTGAACCAAACTTGCATGGATGATGCATCTAGGGATGTACACTACCAGACTTGCTTCGGATGCTGGATCTGACCTACATTTTCCAGATGAGTGACCAGGTTAAAGTTTTTGGAGCAGGTCCATTCCCAAGGAATTATAAGCCCTACCTGAACCAAACTTGCATGGATGATGCAGCTAGGGATATACACTACCAGACTTGCTTCGGATGCTAGATCTGACCTACATTTTCTAGATGAGTGACCAGGTTAAAGTTTTTGGAGCAGGTTCGGAGCAGGTCCATTCCCAAGGAATTATAAGCCCTACCCAGACCAAACTTGCATGGATGATGCATCTATGAATGTACACTACCAACTTGCTTCGGATGCTGGATCTGACCTACATTTTCCAGATGAGTGACCAGGTTAAAGTTTTTGGAGCAGCCCATTCCCAAGGAATTATAAGCCCTACCTGAACCAAACTTGCATGGATGATGCATCTATGAATGTACACTACCAGACTTGATTCGGATGCTGGATCTGACCTACATTGTCTAGATGAGAGACCAGGTTAAAATTTTTGGAGCATGTCCATTCCTCAGGAACTATAAGCCCTATTTTGACCAAACTTGCATGGATGATGCATCTAGGGATGGACACTACCAGAATTGCTTCGGATGCTGGATCTGACCTATTTTTTTTATATCCAAGTAACTATAAGCCTTACCTAAACCAAACTTGCTTGGATGATGTATCTAGGGATGGACACGACCAGACTTGCTTCGGATGCTGGATCTGACCTACATTTTCATTCCTGAGTAACTATGAGCCCTATTTGGACCAAACTTACATAGATGATGTATCTAGGGATGGACACTACCAGACTTGCTTCAGATGCTTGATCTGACCTACATTTTCATTCCCAAGTAACTATAAGCCCTACCTGAAGCAAACTTGCATGGATAATGTATCTAGGGATGGACACTACCAGCCTTGCTTTGGATGCTGGATCTGACCTACATTTTCATTCCCAAGTGATTATAAGCCCTAGCTAAACCAAACTTGCATGGATGATGCATCTTAGGATGGACACTATCAGACTTGCTTGGGATGCTGGATCTGACCTATATTTTCCATACAAGAGACCAGGTTAAAGTTTTGGTAACAGATCAATCCGAATGAACTTGAAGTCTTTGATATCTGCAGATTTAACACTAAATGTGTAAATGCCTTGTAGAGGGTTAAGAACAACTTGCAAGAATATTGTTGTTGGGATGAATACTTAATATTAAGAAAATATGATGTAGGATTTGCATTACTTAAACTGATAACATTCGTCGAGGTGAGCTTCGTAATCTTTGATTACCTATGTTTTGTCTAGACGTTAAAAACTGCTATTTAGGTGAAAATATTACTGCAAATTTACAATTAATACTTCCCCAAAAAACAATGGCATTACTACTTTTATCAATAGTTTCCGAAGCAATTTTTATTTTCAATAAAAATAAAGCATATTATTAAATATCTGCAAGAAAATTTTTAATTTGCTTCAATTTTGTTGCATATATGGCATTATTAAACATTCACCTCATAGATATCAAAAGATTAAAAATGGTGATACCATGGCAACCATAACTTCCTTATGAGCCTGATGATCATGCTTGATACTTTGATATAATGGTATTATTGACATTAGGAACGTTATATGTAAAAATGAAAAAAAAGTCATTGGGCAGAATTTTTTCACGGACCCGTGCAATCCTTTCCTTAACTCTAGAAAATGAATAGATACGTGTGTAAACATTAACAAAAATAAAATGTTTTTATTTTGTTATGCTGTATCTGTCATTTGATTAAACTCTATCACCGATGACGTCATATGTGTACTTCAAATAACTTGGGAATTCATCATGTCATGTAAAGAGAATTTGGCTAAGACGGCATGTACAAAGATAGGTAAAATGGAGTTTAAAAGGAAATATCGTGAATATCATGTAAAATTCCTATGGAGTTCAGTTAATTAAACAGGTATGCTAATTTATTTTCATCAATTATATTCTCTTTCGAAGACAGTCAGCTCTATATGAATCTCGGTCAGTCTTTCCTTTGTCATTCGTTACAAAAATAATGCAACAGAACAACAATAAGCTGGATATTTCAAAACATAAGATTTGTACAGATGGAAAGTTTGCCTTCTGACAATCTTAGAAAGTGCTGCTAGAATCCCGAGTTAAGCGTGGTTTTACGAAAAATCTCGGTTCAAATGTATAAAATTCAAAACATTGGGTAAGGTTTCGTGCCAATGTGTGGAATAATTATTTTACTGAAAGGACAGTGGGATTCTAGCAGCACTTTTTAGGCAAAATAGATGTTTTTCAACTCTATTTTTTACTTAAAGAAATTATTAGACTCCGTGGTATTGTTGTTCTGTTAGCTTTTTTTATTAAGTAAAATTTCACTATGAATAGAAGTCATGTGATGCTGTGGCGGTGGTGCACGTCTTTGCGTTAGACACTCTTTTATCTGTATGCAATAGTTAATAACAGTTTAATTTACCTTTATTAGCAGTTTTGGTAATTTATCAAACTTAATTTTCTTTAAAAAGTCTAAATTTCTCGAGAAAATACTTATATGCTTCCTTAACATACCCGTGCACAATTGTTTTCTCAATCCATATCATTTCTCTCTGAAATTGATGATGTAGTACACAGAAACATAACATTTTTTTTCTAGCAAATCAAAATGTTCCTTAACAAAATGCTTTGTTACAAGGAAAAATATTATTTATTTTTAAAACTATATTTTGATAGTTTTAAGGAGGGTATTAAATTGTATAATAAAGAACAAGTAACAGTTTCAATACAAATTAAGCCCTATATTTTTCTAAAATAATGAAAGTTATATAAGAAATTAAGATTCATTCTTTCTGATTCATTGGAATTCCATGCCCTAAATGCTTATTGTGTTGTCATTAACTTGTGCAATTTCCCATATTTTCTTAAAAAGTTTCAGAACACAGATTTTCAGTGATGCTTTCTTTCAAAAAACATACTCTGCTACCGTCACCCAAAAAGATTTTGAGACATGTGATTTATCAAAGCAGTTTACATAATAAATGCAAAAACTGAATTGGGCAATGGTGGCAGACACTATTTTTTAAAGGAAAATAAGCACAGGAGGCTTTTCTGCATTAAAATTAGAAATATATACCAAATTGATAATGTCATATTTCCAGGAAAGTCCTCCTTCACGTCATATTCTTTAATGATTTATCATATCCATCTACTCAACTCTTGTTAGAGACAATTTCATAACTTTTTTTAAGAACATTAAAATTTTAAGGGCACAATAAAGTCCAAATTGTACCTTCTTCTTTATCATTACAGTGTATAACAGTAACTTGATCCAAAGAGTCGTATCACGTCTCATTGACAGGCACAGATCATCAGAACAAACTGGACGCTTCGTGTCTTGTTTGATCTAATGATCCGCACCTTTCAACTCAACGTTGTACGACTCTTCAGATCAATTAGCTGTTATAATGATAAATATGTACCTGTCTATATTCAATATTATTCATTATGCCCCCCCCCCTCGAAGAGGGGAGGGCATATTGCTTTGCTGCTGTCTGTTGGTCCCTTAGTTTCTGTTCATTTTATTCACAAGCGTTGCACATATTGAAATGAAATTTGGTATACAGATAAATCACATTAATATCTAGGTCAAGTTCTGTTTTTGGAACGTCAAGGATCGCACCATTTTAGACAGAGTTATGCCATTTGGACTTAGAAAAATTCCAATTATTTGTAGTTTCCGTACATTATCTTCCCAGCTGTTACACATACTGAAATGAAATTGGTATTCAGATATATCACATGAATATCTAGGTCAAGTTCTGGTTACAATCGGACTATTTTTAGGTCACCTGAGTTTACTCAGGTGACCTATTGCTATCTGTTTTCGTCCGTCGTCGTACGTTGTGCGTTAACATTTGAACATTTTCAGCTTCTTCTCTGCAACCACTGAACCAATTTCAACCAAATTTGGCACAGAGCATTTATGGGTGAAGGGGAACAAAATTTGTGAATTTCATGATCCCTGCCCCCCAGGGGCCTGAGGGACGGGGCCAAAACCAAGAAATTAATGCAATCTTTAAAAATCTTCTTCTTTACTCCTGGGCATCAAGCAGTCAAACTGTTTGCATGATTATAATCAGCAATGAGTCCTCTACCAAAATTGTGAAATTCATGGCCCTGGGATCAGGGGTTCTAGTGCTAGGGTGGGACTATATAGATTATATAGTGAAAATGCATTATTTCTTTGAAAATCTTCTTCTCTGCTTCTGGGTATTAAATAAACTAAGTACATAGTTATGATGAGCAAGAGTGCCTCTACCAAAATTGTGAATTTTATGGCCCCAGGGTCAGGGGTTCTGGTGTTAGGGTGGGGCTCTATTGATTATATAGTGAAAATACAGGAATTCTTTGAAAATCTTCTTCTCTGCTCCTGGGTATTAGATAAACTAATTAAGTGCCTAGTTATGGTGTGCAAGAGTGCCTCTACCAAAGTTGTGAATTTTATGGCCCCAGGATTAGGGGTTCTATTATTGGGGGGGGGGGGGGGGGGGGGGGCTCTATTGATTATATAATGAAAATACATGAACTCTTTGAAAATCTTCTTCTCTGTTCCTGGGTATTAAATAAACAAACTAAGTGCATAGTTATGATGAGCAAGAGTGCCTCTACCAAAATTGTGAATTTTATGGCCCCAGGGTCAGGGATTCTAGTGCTAGGGCGGGGATCTAAAGATTTTGTAGCTAAAATACATGAATTCTTTGAAAATCTTCTTCTCTGCTCCGGGGTATTAAATAAACTAAGTGCATAGTTATGATGAACAAGAGTGCCTCAACCAAAATTGTGAATTTTATGGCCCCAGGGACAGGGGTTCTGGTGTTATGGTGAGGTTCTATTGATTATATTGTGAAAATGCATTAATTCTTCGAAAATCTTCTTCATTGCTTCTGGGTATTAAATAAACTAACTAAACACATAGTAAAGATGAGCAAGAGTGCCTCTTCCAGATTTGTGAATTTTATGGCCCCAGGGTCAGGGGTTCTTGTGTTAGGGCGGGGCTCTATAGATTATATAGTGAAAATTCATTAAATCTTTAAAAATGTTCTTCTCTGCTCTAGGGTATTAAGCAGACGAACTACCTATATAGTTATTATCTACAAGGGCCCGAATCTTCCAGAATTGTGAATTTCAAGGCCCCAGGGTCAGGGGTAATATGGGGGGTGTAATTATATACTGAAAATGAATGAATGGTTTGAAATCTGCTCCTTGGTATTAATCAAATATCAAGGCCTAAGGGTCAGGGGTTCATGTGTGGTAGGGACACTACTGATTATTGCTGAATTTAACTCATTAGTTGAAATGCATTTTTTGTTCCCCTACCTTGTGTATGGGTATTAAGTAAACAAACTAAGCAACTGCTAAGTGTATTGTTATGATGAATTAAATTTAATCACTGGAAAGTTGTTGCATAATGCTCAGGTGACCTATAAGGCCCATGGGCCTCTTGTTGTCAGAGTTATGCCCCTTAGACTTAGAAAAAATTCAATTATTTGCAATTTCTGTTTATTTTCTTTGCAACTGTTGTACAAAATTGAATTGAAATTTAGTATACAGATTTATCATATGAATATCTAAGCCAAATTATGTTTTGGGTACAATCATACCATTTTTGACAGAGTTTTGCCCTTTTTGGAGAAATTCCTATTTTTGGGGAAGGCGGCATAAGTGTTTTGCTAACATCTCTTGTTTAAAACATATCATATGCATTTAAAAGAAGGCGAATATGATAAAATTATCTGTAATAATTTGTAATGTTAGTAAATATTTCTTGAGTACTGTACATGTACATATCAGATAAGATAATTTTAATGAAAATTATTTTAATACATGTTTTTACAGTAGTTGATGACGATTCACCATTGAAGACATTTATCAGGATAAATGCCGCGGACCTGAAGCCAAAAATAAGCAGTGCAGTTGACCATTCCAATCCAAATGAAAATAGAGATAATTCGGGACTGAAAAGTCATTACAAAGAGAGGGGGGAAACCATGCTCTATAGCCGAGAAGAAGAGAAAGTTGAGTTGTCTAGTTCACCTAATGAAGGCAAAGAAGAAGTCAATACAGTAGAGGTAATGGCCCTTGTTCTTTCCTCAAAAGAAGAAAAAAGGGTGAAAGATGAAATTTTTCAGAAAATCTTGTCTGAAAAAGAGAACTTACCAACTGTCAGCATGCTGGACTTTGCTGGTCAGTTAGCGTATTATGCCTGTCACCAAATTTACGTAACACCAAAGGCCTTCTTTATCCTTGTGTTGGACATGACTAAGAAGTTTGAAGATGTTGTTGATAGGGAAAAAGATAATCAAGAAGGATCCATCTTCTCTGTGTGGACTTACAAAGGTAAGACATAGTATTGTCATGTCAAAATTTTGTCTGTATGGCTTACACTCATGTCGATGAAAAAACATTATGCAGTATAAGACACTCTAGCTTGCCAAAAAAATGTAAGAGAAAATTAAAAAAAATTAGAGAAAGTTCAAAGGGGGGGGGGGGTAGTTCACTTTAGCCAGGGAGCTTTTTTTTTCTGACTGTTAACTTCACATTTGCTTTTCTAAAGATCCAGTTATATAGACAAGTTTCAATTACACTTTTTACAAATTGTCCTAGGGTATACATTATTCAATTCTGTGCAACTGAAGGACCAAGCCATCTTTAAAAAAGAAAGATAATTGAGAGTAAATGATCAATTAATGGCATTCAAAAAATTCTCTAAGAACCATCCAGAGTCCTCTCATAGTGAAGATTAAAGTTTGTTCAAATCGTGTACCCAGAGAGAAAGGAAGGACCACAATGGGCCAAAATGATTTAATAGGAAATTACAGGATAAATTTGAAAAAAAAAATCCTTCTTTCTAGAAAGGCTAGCATGCTTAAGCCTTGATAAGTTTATAATAATTATGAGATTGCCTGATGGTTTGTTGCATACATACAATTTGCTACTGACTCTATACACAGTAGTAAATTGTTGAATATAATTATGTAAGTGATTTTTAAAAGGGATTTCACAGGCAGTTTAATATTCATTATTTACTATACATTTTGCAATTACATAAAATTAAAAGTCTAATGAGCGTTTTTACATAATTATTGAGCGTTTTTGCATTTAAAAAAAAAAGAAAAAGCCTGTTCCTGTTCACTCTTGTAAGTACAATAGAAGTATTAGTAATCGTCAATGATGTTTTTCTGTTTTATCCTATTACGACGCCCTATTTCTTTGTCAGACTACCTGAAGTTTTGGATAACCTCAATCAAGACTTTTGGAGGCACTAAGGCACCACTGTTCATTATTGTCACACACACAGAAGGAACATCTATAGATGTAAGTATAACTGATGTAACAGTTATATATATAATAGATAACTGATATAACAGATGTAAGTTGAACTGAAATGTAAATATTTCATACTAGATGTCAATTATAAGAAGTTATGCTAAAAAGTCAAGGGAGTAAAAATGGATTTTTCCCTGGTTTTAAATATATGCAGATCACTCTCTTTCGCTCATCTTAGCAAAAAACTCAATTGAGCTTATCTGACTTCACTAACCTTGTCTCTTATCTTCTTTAGCTCACCTGAGCCAAATGCTCACGTGAGCTTTTCATGTTCAAAATTTGTCCGTTGTCAGTCGTCGTCGATGTCGCCATTGTCAGAGTTAACTGCATGTTAAAGTTTTCCTCTTCTTCTCAAGAAACACTGAGCCAATATCAACCAAACTTGCCACAAATTACACTCATTATCTCGAACATGGGATATCTCTAATACCCCGCTTTTGTCGAAGTCGATCGCCGGTCCCGTCCATATTCTCTATAAATATGATTTAAAAAAAAACACCTGTTTTGTCAAACACGGTAATCTTGAATACGAAGTATGTTCAACATCTCAAGACCCTTTTTACCTGGCTTATCTCAAAGTGCAGTGGATTTTGGGGTCTACTGAACACACCTGGCATCACGACTTCAAACATTCTTGCAAGTGGCTATCAATTAAGACCTTCAAACCTAGTGAATCTTAATTAATCCCAAGCTCATGTTGGGTATCTGTGACAGGTTAATTGGTATGACAGCTTGGGTGTTTGGTGTAGTCCTATATGATCGATAAAACTAACCACTTCGCAGCAACTCAGAAATTAAGGATGTTCGATCCTGAGATTTTGAGCATATTTTGGTCAGGTCCTTTATTTAAAGAATTCTGCATCATTTTTAAGTTCTAACATTAATTCTGAATTATACAGTGCAAATTTATTTTCATTCAATGAAAAAACCGCGATTAAATTCCCTTCAAGTAAAATTAAGCTATAGTGACTATATTTTGTGGCGGAAGGCTTTTTTTTAAGACGAAAATCATCATTTTTTCCATTTTGAACTATAACAATACTGATAATTTTGGAATTCTATTTTTCCACCCTGGTTGCACACAAAGCTGTTTTTTGCAGTGAAATGTGTTATGCTGGTTCTGAACACTATTAAATTATTTCCAATGAATTCTATTAAAAAAAGTGTGACATATATAGTTATTATATTCTGAAAATCTGGGGGGAAAATTGAGCCAATTTTAACGTAAAATTAACACTTTTTTATAGTAATATCTGAAAATTTACATCATAAATCCCCACTTTGATGTTCTTTTTCTAAATATTCAAGATAAATTTGACCTATTTGCTTAAAATCAGAAAAAGATAAAGACTTCAAAAAAAAATCTTGTTTATTAAATATTCATTGCCAGAAAAATAACATTTTATTAGTGCAGAAGGTCAAATAATTGATTATACGAAGCAATTTGAAACTTTTTCATAGTCACAATTTTTAAGTGTATTTTATTAAACAAACTTACAGCTCATTTTGCTTCATGCTTTAATTGGATAAAAATATTGGAGGGAAAACGTCAAAAATGTCATTTTTAATTAAGACACACATTTCTGTGCAAAAGGGTAATATTAAATGTATTGTAAGGCCAAAGGAAGCCTATTGACCCCCATTTTTTTATTTGAATTTTAATCAAGCTATGTATGCAGAATCTGAAAATATACTTGGCAAAAAAAATTTAAGACTTTAAATATCAGGATCGAACGTCGTTAAATACAGACAGTATTACTGATATTGCATTTAATATGTTCCTGCATATTAATTAAAATTGTAAATTCATAAAACACAAACATTTTTTACAATAAACTTAATCACTTAAGTTGCATTGTGTAATGCATAGCGATTGATTACATTCATGTTTACATGTGTATATTAAAAACATAACCTTGACTGCCATTTGCATTGTTAGTTTTGTAAACTATATGTTCCTTTGTAATACATATACAGTGTTTCCGTTAACGCATATTTCTGCGTATTTTACGCATAAAAATTACTTTTGACCCCCAAAAACGTCACCTAGAGGGTTATCATGACGCAGAAAAAAGGATAAAAACAAGTTTTAAAAATCCAGTTCAATATTGATGTTTTCATAGAAAAAGATATTTTATATGTTTAATTTACATTCTGGACAACTTTTTAGGAATTAATCATTGCTTTTAGTTTAATTTCAAAGTGGCAGTGAATTGAAATCGGCATTTCCATGTCAACAATCTATTAAATATTCTTTTGTACGACTTATCTTATTCTTAACAAAACCGGAAGTGTAGATAAAAATGGTGCTTTAGCATTTTCGGCATGTTCAGTCTTACATCGGCATAATTTTATCAGTTTGGCTTTGTCAAAAAGACTAATTATGGTAATAAAAAGGTGAGGAAAGTTCAAATCTTTAATAAACAGTCTTGTAAAGCAATCAACCACTTTCAATTGTTATCTTTTGATTGAGGCATTCACGAAACACTTATGGTGTAATCGGTAAAATGTAACCGTGTACCGGTAAAATGAAGGAAGTGTACATGTATCAATTATATTTTACTTTCATTTTTTATTAATTTTAAAGATCAAATATATGATCTAAGAAGGCAGAGCTAATGTCAGAACCGAAAGCAAAACCAGAATATATTTTGACCCTCAAAAAATCTTTTTGACCCCCAAAAGTTTATATCAAAGGGTCATAATGACCCTTGGTTTTGAAAATTAGCAGAAACACTGATATACTTTGTAATGTAATACATTAATTAAAAGCTATTAATATTCAAGTACACAGTTTGAAAACAGATTTTTTAAGCACTCTAAATAACATTTTGCACTGAATTTCATCAAATAATGTTTTTAAAAGAATCGTCTTTTTCTTTTCTTGCGGAGAAGGTTCTTCAACTACGGGTATCATGCTTTTCAAATATCCTGTTTGACCATGGCCTGGAAAATGTAAAATCGCTGTATATGCAGTAAGGCATGTACTGGTATATAAAATTGTTTTACAATTATACACGATAAAGAAACAACAACGTTGTTTTTCTTAATATTTATTGCAAATATATTTGAGTCTTTACCATAAAGACTACACGTCTGGTAATAAAGGAAAGGGTTATGTATAGATAATTTTCGATGGGCGTAAATTTAGCAAAAGTTACCTCCAGTTGGCCACCATATTGGAGGTCAACTCATTGAGTTTTCCTCTTTGTCATACTGAATTAAAAAAATATAGCAGAAATATTTGGTAAAAAATCTTTATCAAATAATTTTTTTTAAGAAAGGAGGCTTCCAAAAGTTTATATACTTAAATAAAAATAAAGATTCTTAATTCGAAATCCCAAATATAAAAATTTAAAATTGGTTGAACAGTGAAGGAATATGAGCATTTGGAGCATTTGGACATTCAGTATGGCAGCCAACGGAAAGTAACTCTTGTTAAATTTAGGTCCATGGAAAACTATCTATAAAGATGATTATGTAAAAACAGGAAATTATTGATTCCACTTAGTAAGATAACTTCGGATATCTTGAACTTCAGGATATCTCGAAGTGGTATCCAGGTACCAGCAACTTCGAGATACTGATATTTCAGTGTATCCTTAAGTCAAGGGAATTCAAGTTTTTTCCAATGAAGGACAACACCCTCATCCAAGGGGAGATAATTATGAATTAGTGAAAAATATATGGCATCTTTTAAAGATTTTCTTCTCAAGAACCACAGGGCCAGGACAGATTAAACTCGTGGAAGCATCCTCAAGTAGTGTAGATTCAAGTTTGTTCCAATCATGACCCCCCAGGGGTTGAGTTGGGCCACAAAGGGGGATCAACATAGGAACATAGGAAAAATCTTTTAAAATCTTCTATTCAAGAAAAACTGAACCAGGAAATATGAATCTCAAGTGAAAGCATCCGCTGCTAATGTAGATTCAACTTTGTTCAAATCATAACAACTGGGGTTAGGATGTAGCCAAAATTGGGTATAAAATTTTAACAAAGTAATACGTAGGAAAAATCTGCCTCTCAAGAACTGGGCCAGGAAAGATGAAACCCAAGTGGAAACATCATCTGGTAGTGTAGATTTAAGTTTTTTTTAATCAAGACCACAGAGGGTAGGGACAAGGCCACAATGGGGTTTCAAAGTTTAAGATAGAAATACACAGGAAAAATCAATAAAAAAACCTCTTAAGATCAGCAATGCCATGATTAGTCATAGTTATAAGAAAGCATCCTCTGGTAGTGTGGTTTCACCTTGCATAATGGTGACATCCGGGGAATTTGCAATGACATTGACCTGATTAGCTTTCCTACAGTGATTGAGATGAAAATAATCCTAAACTCACTTACGACGGAACACAATGATATCCGAGCTTACTTTTACTTGTTTCCAAGCTCGGGACCTGTCCTAGAAATACATGAACACTTCTGCAATATCTGTCAAGACCATTTCTTGACCGTTTCTTGGTGAAAATTTGTGCCTTATATATCACTCAGCTTCATTTGACTTATGTGAGGGACTTCTAGAAATGATTTTGCTCTAGACACTGATGTTTCCGAGAAGTCCACCTCAAATAAAGGGGACAGACTTCAATTTCAGTATGTGGCACTCCAGGGTACCGATTTAAGTGGAGGCCGGGGGAAGGAATATTTTTAAGTCATTGTGAATTTAGGATTATTTTTATCTCAATCACTATAGGAAAGCTTATCAGGTCAAAGTGCATTGCAAATTCTGCTTTGAATTCTGCAGCCCCGGATGTCACCATTCTGCGCCCCCATATATGGGGTTATGTACTGGTGAGTTTCAAGTTTAATTTGTTCAAAGAAATACCCCTTGGGGTAGGGTGGGGTGTGGCAAGGTACTTTGCGAAAATTTTTCAAAGTGCGTTAAAACTGGAACAAAATCAACGCACTTTGAAATGGACTTTAAAATATGTATTATAAACAAAAATTCTGGACTAAGATTTTAGAAATGGAGAAAATTAATTTGT